ATCCAAATAATTAAATTAATTGCAGTTATTTCAATTTGTTCTTTCATTTTAAACTTTGCTATAACAATCACTGAAAAAAAAATTATGCAATCAAATTTTTTCTTTTCCAAAATTTTCTTAATCAATTTGATAATGAGTGCGCATTAAAAAAAAGAGCTAAAGTATTTATTAATTTTATCAAAAAAAGAAAATGAATGAAAAGTAGAAAGAATCAAAAAGGTGATTCCTTTGACTGATATGATGATAAATGATATTTCTGCGCACTAATTATATGCTGATAATTCCGGAATATTCCAACAGTAGTATTCATATAACAAAAGATTTTTTAAAGCGCCGCAGAATGAAAGTTATTTAATGGAATTAAAATCTTATGAAATTTGAAAAAAATGAACTTCAAAAGATTAGTGGTTTTTTTTACAACTAATATACGAGATAGATTTATCATTAACAGTGACAGGCATTTGATAAAGAATGATTTAGTTGTTTCATTTCGATATATGATAGAATTTATTCCTTTACAATTTATTTCCAAGTGATTCAAACTTTTTCAAAGCTTTAATTCGATTATTCAATTGGATATACCAAGCTAAAAACATCATTCGTATGAAAAAGACGGGATTGATTGCTTAATTTTAATTATTTGTTATTTAAAAAGGATTGGCCGACTAGTTTTATTAATTAAATATGCACGTTTATATGAAGCATAATTCTATATGAAATAACTAATAATAAGTTATTTGAATAAAATGACGAAATAAAAGAAAATTAGTAAAGTAAATTAAATAAAAGACACAATAACGTAATTCTATTTATTAAAAAAATTTTATTTCTCAAATAAAGTTAAAAATATTTGTGTTTTTTCGTCCGTTTCTGAAAATTTCTTCTCCAATAAGATAATTATTAAATTATTTGTGAAAAGAAAAAAATAAAAATATTGTCATGATGATGATGATGATGATGATGGTTATCAAAAAGGTAAAAAGGTAAAAAAAATTATGATGATAATTTAAAAAATATTTTATCATTTTTTTTTCTTACTAACAAAATCATTCTTTCATTAAATCCAACCATCTTTGCTTTTCAAGGAGAGATAATTTTATCTTTACACTTATCTTTATCGTAAAATTTGTCTTTTCAAATTTTTAAAAAATATAAAAATTAGAACAAAAATATATCACATATATTAGTTAGTGCATTGTGTTAAAAAAGAAAATTTTATTTATTTATGATTGCTTCATTTATTTATTTGCTATAATTGATAAATAATCTTTCATTTATTATTAACTATACTTATATTGATATAGTTTAGTTATTTTTATGCAAATGATAAAGCTAACTTTTTTCCTGGGATTTTTTTTCGTTTTTTTTACCTTTCTTTTTTTTGCTTTTGCTTTTTACCTTTACCCCCTTTTTTTTCTTCTCTTTTCCTTCTTCTTTTTCAGATTTTTTTATTGTTCTCAGCGCAAAAATATTGTGAACAGACTAAAAAGAGACATATATATATATATATATATATATATACATATATATATAATGTGTACAATTTTCCTTCACTTCTGTCTCAAGAAGTTTTTGCCGTTTCTCGACCAAAACATTTCATTTTTCTATGCTTTTTTTTCTTTCTACGTTGATCAGATAATTTGTCAAATGTTTTCATGGAATATTATGCTTAATTTCATTTCATGGTCCTTTTTTTATATTTCGTAACTAACTTTTTGACTGTTTCAGTTTAGCAATTTGACTGTTTCAGTTTAAATGCCCTGGAAGAACTTTCTATTATATCGAAGCTTTAATGGATGAATGGGAAAGTAATTTTACTGTTGTCAAATTCTCACTTGTATTAACCATTCAATTTTTAAAATATGTTTCATTTTTTAGTAATAAATATGCATATCCCTTATGCCGGTATTGAAGTGCACTATATACTTACTATTCAAGTATATATCTAATTGTTGCAGTTCAGTAATACTGGATTGAGGATGCAGCTGAGGGATAACCTTGGCTAATCACTGATCTAGAAATTGAGCTTCAATGATGAGGATGACTTGATTGTTACTATTTGAGAATGGGGTTATATTGATTGTATTGATTGTGTTCGGTACTTGCTAATGAACTACTGCAATTTAACAGACTCCTTCATGGGTTGCGGCATTGGGCTGTGTTGATCTGTTTGAAATGTCTGGTTCAGACTTTTTCTGGCAAGTATATGAGTTGCTCCTTGAGAAGTCGCTCTTGGATAATATGGATTTGGGAATGGTGGAGGAGTATTATTTAACATCGAAGCGGAAAGCACTAATTTCCTCCAAAGTAATGTTTCATCTATTTGATGTGTTTTGAAGGAATTTTATCGTTTCATTTACTGTAGTATCACAACCTTGGAGCATTATCTTTCCTTTATCATTGAAATGGATGGGCACTTTAAATCTAATTAAGAATGCTCGTTAGGTTTCTTGTTGCATTCAGTTCCTTTTTTATAAATACTTTCAGTCCGTTTTATGCATTTCGGTAATAGTTACCGTCATTGCTTGCTGGTTCTCTACTTCTCATCAGGTACTTGGCCTTTTGGTGTTTCCTGCACTTTTCATCGGGTTGTTGGAAGTTACCAAGCGGTTTTGTTATTGGATCATATCTTCCTACGTCAATGTATCAGCTGATTTCGATTCTATTTCCCATCGTATGGTTTCTGCCATCCGATCCCGAGAAGTAGCTTTTTTCGGGTATGTTAATTCCACTATGTGTATAATAAATAAGTCATCGATTTGTACGAATTCCACATTTGATGGCTTCTCAGCGGTTGTTTTGTTCGTCGATATGGTCAGGTATATGCAGCAATGGATATTGAAATTTGAATTGAGACTTCGTCTAACAAACTGTATCATTCTTAATCAAATGTTAATTGGAAACGTAGGTCGATGTAGTAAATTCATATAATTATTTAATTCTTTCCGACTATAAAGTTTAGACTATGGAAAAAATTTGACATGAATCCGACTGTGTGCTTACACTCATTCCGGCTTGAATTGTTGAAAGCGCTTCGTTCTGAAGTTCAGTGTCATGTGCGTATGACGAGAAATTTGAACAGGTAACATTAATCATTAATTTTCACTGCTGCATTTCACAAACGCTGTGTTGTCTTCCAATTAGTGTTCTGTAACACTATCAATATGTAACAGTATTATAGTGGTTTGTGTTTAAGTGTTCGCAGAGCTACGGATGACGAAAAGTTAATAGTAAACATTTACTATGACAGTATGAGTCTCATTCTTAAAGGCAAAGAATGGGAAGTTTATCGGGACAATTAAGGAGTGACTTCATCCCTTCAGATGTGATGATTCGGAGTTGTTGTGTGAGATGTTTACACTCGAAATGTCGCAGTTGGCTTTAGAAGATAATATATGCGAACAATTTCTTCAGCTATCTGCTTTAAAAGTATATCTATTTTCAATTTATTTATGTTATACATCCTAATAGTATTTTATTTTCAATAGCGACAACGATATGAAATTTTTTTGAATTTTTAACCTTTATTTAATCTACAGCTGGTATATAACTGCAAGTAATCAATTTTAACATCTGTATCTTACTGAATAGAATCTTTGAGGTTCTTTCACACTTCGTAGTTATTGATTTTGCGGTTATATGTACAGGAATTGTGGCAGCTATTGTTTCTTTTACGGAGTGAGTATCTTCGCCTTTTTCTGTTGCATTTATCGCGACCTTCGCACAGACTGGTACTCGTATTTCTGGATCTCTTTTATAAAACAGTGCTTCTAAGAAACAGTAAGTCCAGGTGAGACTTGAAACAATTTATTGCTGAGCAAATTAGTTGTTTCAAATTCGTTGTCCCGTTCTGTTAGAATTTTTATGCGAAAAAATTGATTTGTGTTGTAATTCTTTTTTTTTTCTAATATTGAGCTCCTTCGCTTAAAATTTAACTGCTAGCAATCCGTTTAATCGATAAATGAAGTTAATTACAATTTGTTTACCTCAGGTTTTATTTCAAGCTCAAATTAAGCTAACTAAAATGGAAACAAATTAATAAAGAGTGAGTTCTTATTTGTCCACATTTTTTATCCAACTGCTGCGGTTTGTTTTTCATAGCTTTAGGAATCTCTGTGCATGCTGAGTGTTCATTGTCTCTGCTCAGCTCAGGTATGTCTTAAATAAATTTTTAAAAGGGCAAATTTCCGGCAGGCTTTCATGTAGTCTTGAATTTATCAATTATGGTGACTGCTGTGCAGCAAAGAAGAAAATACAAAAATTTTCGCCTTTTTTGTCAACTACCGAGAAGATTCAAGCGCATCTCAGTTTTGCTTCAGAAATGTATGTTTCTTATATTGATTTTGCTTACTAATAAATTATTTTCTATACTATTGTATCTGATGGTATTCGTATCATGCGGTTTTGAAATTTAAGGTGAACCATGAGAATAATCAGAGTAAGTTTCATTTTCAAAGAAGGTACTTCTAAACGATAGGTTTTTATGTTGCAGTCTAAATGGGAATGAAATATCAGAGGAAGAAAAATTTCTGTATGTCGCTGATATACTAAGAAAAGCTATTGAAATTTCTGCCCCCAAAATACATATAAAACATGAAGATGTAAAGCATTCAAACATGTCATCAAATTCTTCGGTATCGGAAGATACTGACAAAGACGAGTCTGCTGCGGATGGGTTACCGGTTGAAGAGGTTGCTTACTTTTAACGAATGTCTTTTAAATTGTTCTTTTCAAAAAAAAAAAATTTTGTTCTTTTTTTCTCTCGTTAAATTGAAACTTAAACAAAATGATCGTTTTTCTAAAGGAACATTTATCAAGTTAGTATCCCTATTTTTGCAGATATATGAAGGATTCCCTCTTGCCTCAGATGACCAACAAAAGGATGGGTTTCTCTCTTCATGGCAAGAAGGCGTAAGTTTGTAGATAATTGAAGTGTACTTTTCCGGAAAATAACATATGGACGATTACAGCTTGAAGAATGATATGTAGTTTGGGGCTCTAAGTCTTTCATCCTTAATATGATGCAGTAAAGTTGGTGAAGACTTAAAATTTTTTAGTCTGCCTTCTACGGGATGTTAAACATGCAGCAAAGCAATTTAGAATTGAAAATTATTGGGTATTTCAAGTGTAACAATTTATATACAAATCTTTTATTTCCACCGAAATGTATTTTAGGAATCAAATGAAACATTAGCAAGATCTGTGATTGTAGAATTAAAATCACGCCTTGTTGAGCGAATAAGAGAAGTGGACGCAGATAAAGCAACAAAAATTGATCATAGTCAACAAATGGCAACAACTGACGATGAATTTCAAGAAATATTAGCAGTCGATGAGAACTGTGATGTTCAGAAAACTGCTGATCTGGATTTTAATATTTTTAGTTCGATTTCGAAAAATAATGATACATTTCAGTCAAAAAATGTAAATTTAGATTTAAAACAAGCCATATCGCTTATAAAATTAAAGCCAAGTGTTGATTTTATAGATGATCCTGGACAGGAGTCATAACATAAAATAGAAAGTGCTTTTTGGAATATCGTTTTTATAACTTCGGTATCACTGAAAATTTTTTTTCGCCTAACTTTTTTTTTCGCATTATTTATATTTAATAGTTTTATAAAATTCATTCACTTTGTTATACATTTATTCATGAAATTGTGAAATGCTTCAAAGTTTGAAAAGCAATAAAATTTATTGAATTGCCTCACGTGCGTTTACAAAGGTTATTCAAAAATATAGGAAGAACGATGCTTTAGAACGATTCAGGAGAAATACAAATGACCAGTGCTGCTTTCAAATGTAACAGATCAAAATCTTGACTTTAAGATTCAATCAAAATTGTTCGTAGTGATGTGGAAAAAAAAAAATGAATATACGGTGTATAAGCAAGCAGAAGTGCTGCTTGTACATATTTGAGAAGTGAGCAATGCGATAAAAAAAATGTGGTTATATTTCAACAGCATTGTCTAATACTCAGATCAAATTCGTACCCGCGTTCAAAATAAATATTCGGTCCCACATAATACCTGTCAATAGTGTACATGTATGAAGACGAATGATCTGTTTGCAACGGGTATTTGGATTGTGTTCAATGCTCCACTTGTTCCGTATCGTACATAATGTTATCTTAAAACACTTTCGAAATTATCATTTAGAGGACCAAACTATTAGCTTGCAGATTAATTGACATCTTAACTTATATATATAATTGTGATAAATGTCAGAAGTTTTTTCATCTTTCAGTTATCAATTATCTGCTTCCTATGGCATTAAACTGTTCTATATGTGCAAAATTCGTTGCATTAACAGTAAGACACTAAAAAGACTCAAACTGTTATAAGTAAAAGATGTGAACTGATCGTTAAACCATTTCTTTTATCAGCCAAATGTGCCTATTTTTATTAATAAGTAAAAGCTACCAAAATCATTCTGAATATACAGTAATACCTCGTCATGATTCATTGTTCGGAGTATTTCCTGCATGATGGCATGAGCAATCTCCTTGGCGTTTGCGTAAACAGCAAGAATACGATCTTTTCGGAAAACACCGTAACCATTTACTGCTGATGTTTCTTCGTTTTCAGCAATCAATACCTGAGTAAACATAATTTATAAGATTGTTATTTTAAGATTGTAACAAAACTACTTGTTTATATATTTAGTTAAAGTTATTGCTTAAATTATCTTGTCCTATAATGTTTCTCATTGTACGAACCTTTATCTCTTCTTTATTACTATATTAAATAATATAATTTATACATTTGTGTATTAGTGATTCATATCCAGGTAGAAACTACTACAAAAACATACGTTTGCATCTTTAAAAAGGTATTCCAGAAATCTGCTGCGATCTGCACAACTCACTGCCTTATCAAATTTCACGAGTTTTCCCATTTTTGAGCCATCGAATTCAGAAATTTTGATGTCTAGAACGTAAAATAATTTTTATGAGCTATTTCTTTTCCATTTCCGTACTTGCACATGTCTTTTATTCCAATTTTCACTACTTTTCTTGCAAGTAGTCAATTAAGGCTACTTATTAATTTGCTTTTATTTTTTCGAAGTAAACATAACATAGACTTTTCTTTGACTAGTTATTTGTCACAATTATTTCAAACAAAATACTCAGAACTGTCATAAGTAACAATATTTATAATGTCTCTTCACCTATTGTAAAAAATTTTTCCGGTCCATCCAGCAATAAAATATTTGAAAAATTTATTTTATTACACTAGAATGAATTCTTAAGTATGGAAAAATGTAAAAGTCAGTGAATGAAAGGATAGAGATCGATAGAACGGGATCAATCCGCTTTTCCTCTATGCATTAATAACACTTTAAATTATGGATTTTACTAGTCTTTACCTTGCTAACTTTTCTCATCACTACTTCTTCAAGTAATGAGACTTTCCTATGTTTACCATATTAAATTGCACGATGATTTCTTTAATACAACATAATAACACTTCAAAATGATGAAATTTGTAATGTAATCTATTGAGAAAAATAAATGAAACTTTTCATAATTAAATATACCTCTCTTACATTTTTCGCAAAAATTAGTAGAAGCACCGTTATTTTATTTCTGTAAGTGCATGACAAATTGCCTTTCAATCAATCATTAATCGACAAAAAATTTTATGTTCATCTAATTTGGGAAGCAAACAGAAATTTTATAATGTAAACAAAAAGTTCAGCAAGTTCATTTAAATTGCCAATGTTTTTTTATATGGTTTATTAAAATGGTATTCTTTCGCGAGAATACCCTGGAATTTTCTTATCGGTAACTATAGATTATAATCCTCTGCGAGTCGAAAGACACTGTATGATAGGAAATGAAATACATTGAAAAAAAAGTAACAAATAAAAACATAATAATTTTCAACATTAATAGCGGCGACATAGCGACGAGCGTTATTGGAATATAACTAAAGTGCTAATCAACAATCTAACTTTTTACCTGCTTCAAAATTTTATTGCTTTTAAAATCTTCAAAGATTTTACACTTCTTATGAAAAATTTTGGAAAATCTTACTTTTCACTGTTTCCAGAGTCTTCTGAAATTCATTTTTATTGACAGTAAGCTCACATAGTTGCATTTTGTCTCTAACAACGAAGCCAGCTTTATCCCTCCAAATATTCATATCATCGTTATCAGTCAAATCAACGGTAACATTTTTTTTCAAATCTAAATTCAATCGTCCCAGCGTCCTAGAATATCAATTAAGAATTACCGATTCTACGATGAAATTGAATTGGGTAGGAAATATTTCCGTAGTCCTGAATATTAATTTCTTTCTCTTTCAAACTTCAATTTTAGTTCTAAGCGATAATCAATTGAAATATAAATTAAAGCAATTATTTTGCGATACCTTAATAGATAAGAAAAAACGACCGAATCAACGACATAGATTTAAATAAGTATCACAAAAATAAAACTGTTAAAACTTCCATTTGCCGAATTTCGAAAAAATGAAAAATTTGACTGTAGTATTTTGTTTTAAGATCTTCAAGTGCAAAACATTTAACGAAATCAACAAATTCTCACTTTGCCATTGTTTTCAATTTATGCATATATAGATCGCTTTGTAGATTTTTCAGATTTAAAAAGCTTTTAAATTAAAGTAGACGACCTTTCAGCAACTTGATCAATCAGATGCTCTAATGGTAGCCGCTTGTCGGGATTATGATGCACCTGTATGAATATCGGTTGCAGACTCCGATCCTCAGCTACATCCTGGAAAGAAAAATAGATGTTCCGATAGAAATTTCAGCTAAAAATTAAGATGTACTAACAACAAAAATATAATTCTAGTATTGTCGTCCAGTTTTCTTTTCTTTTAAATTTAAATGAAAGCTAAAGATATGCGCAATTACAAGTTTAAATTTGCATCATAGATCGTGTCGCAAAAATAAGAAAAACCTAAAACCGAACGTCCCAAAATAGATAGAACTTAGACCTGAACATCGACGATTTGAAAACACTGCGGGTCATCAGATGGTTTAATGCAGATATACTTATCACTGATGGATTTATCGAATTGAAAAGCTATACAGTAAGCCTGATTTGCCGCACAACTGATCATGGATACAACACCACCTATTGCACCTGTTAAGAAATCATTCTCTCCTCTGAATTCAAAGATTTTTCAAATTTTTAATTCATCGGAAGAACAGAAATTTGAATAACAAATATAAAAAGGATGCATTTATCGTAAACTTGTGATTTCGACATCTTCCGAATCAATTGTAAGAGGAAAAAAATCATAATGTGTGATATGGATTATATGAATTTAGAACTTTATTTCAAAAAAAATGGCAGATTGACCATCGGAATTTCGGATAATTGCAGATTTTGATTCTGGAACACTATTCACTTCATTCAACATTTCGCCATTATCTGACACTATTCGACTCAGGAGAGAATTCCAACCCATGACTATTATTTTATCACACTGAAAATTTAACTTCGCTAGTTAACAATTTTAATAAAACAATTTTTCTCAGTGCTAAGCAACAGCAAAATTGCTATTCATAACTTAATTCGCGCCGACTTAATTTCTTTCGCAATCACTCTTTACCGAAAATTTTACCCATGCCCATTCTTCTAGAACTCCCATTAGACTTTGAGAAAAAAGGGAAGAAAAACTTTTTAACAAGTAAAAAATATTCTACGATGTTTTGAATTGGAATGTGAACAATATTAGGCACGGCGTACTGTATTCATCCAATAGTGGTGGACATCTCTAGTGCTTCACATTTATGAAATTAAAAGAAAAGCGAACTGATTTTGAAGCTAAGAGTTTCTCGGTAGGTTAGAATTAAATTTCTAAGCAAAATGAGTGTTGATCAGCGCTGTGGATTGCCATTTTATAAATGATATAGACAGATGTTTAAGCGCTTATTTTATACTTTAAAATATACGGTGCAAATTCAAAGGCATTAGAAAATGTATATACATGGTTAAGGATTGAAGAGTTAACAAAAAATGGAATTTCTATCTGTGGATCAAAAAATAAGGGTATGTCCATTTACCACAATCTGGATGTAATGTGCTAATTTTAAAAGTATATATACGATCATAGTGAAATATCGTAAAAGTAACATAAGTGACACGCGAAACTGTTAAAAGGGAGGACTTCATGGGGAGTTGATGGCCCTTTGTGACTTTGTGGGTGGAAATTTTGAATAAATCAAAAGTGACGATGATAGCAGCAGAGAGCGATGGCAGGAAAAGCGAGAAAGATATACCTCGGGGGTGGTGTGATTGAATATTGGTGTATGGAGTAGGCGGGGGTGGATACCTGATATTAAAACAAGTTGTGAATTGTTAAAGTAGTGATTTCGAAGTCGATTGGGTTGTTTCGTAATTTCGTATTACCATCACCGCAGATGTCGTCGCTGTTGTCAATGACAACTCTGCGGTTTGTTTGCTGGGACTGTGTACGTTTGGTATTTATTTGCGACAACCAAACAATTCGTCGGAATTGTCACCTCAACTGGCAACCATGACAACTGAACAAAATTTTTGAAAATCGCGGTTGCTGTCGAATATAACTATTCAACCATACATACTGTATACAGACGAAAGATGTAACATACACACACACACACGCATACAAACATACACACATACATATAAATATAAATAAATAAAATAAATAAATAAATAAAAATATATATATATAAGACTACTCAATATTTTGATAGTTAGCCAAAGATGAGATGGGATAAGATAATGCAGATGGTATCCATAAATAGGATGCATCACCTTTACCAAACAGTCCTAAGATGTAGCTATTTCATCATTGTTAATGTCGCCCATTCATCATTATCATCATGAATAGGAAGAACTGGTTACCAATTCGTCTTGGTCACATCATGCCACTGTCGTAATAGAGATGACTCAGGGTCGGTTGTCAAATGCTGCTATGCCGTTTATTCCTTAACAGATAGTAACCATATCAAAAATTTCAATTTCTTGGGTCGTGATGTTTTCATTAGCTATAAATGCAAGAGTAAGGTAAACATTGAAGCATAGAGTTCTAAAAATTTAAGATTTTAAAATCTTAGAAAAAATGCATGTTTTATCAATTTTTCTATAAAATCTGGTCTTGGTAAAATTAATTTGTTAGATATTTTTATGTAATTTTGATTACTGAACATTCGCTCAAGAAGAAGAAAAGGTATGATGTAAGAAATTTTTTTTACAAACCACTATGCATGCGATGTTTGGCGTAACAAATCAGAGATGATGACAACAATCGATCGGGCCAATTGATGAAATATCGGTGGAGAAAAATACTGCTGGACACATTTATTTCTACGCTAATGAGTGAGATTTCTTTTCTGAGACTATCAGTCCGTCGTGAGAAAAAGATCTGAAACTTCGTCCGTTCTAAACTTTTCTCTTTTTTTATTCTAAAATCAATCCTGTTTCAATTAACAAGGCCTTTTATTATATTATCGTATTTTACGAGACCAGTCATATCCAGTTTCATTCATCTCCATCAAGAACCAGTTACATTAATGTTTTTCGTGATACCATACTAAAATCACCGCTCGATTTACAAATAAACAATCATGCTGAGGTATCGAGCAGGAAATTCTGAAACTTCAACCGGAATTATTATTACAGCTCATATTAATGTCATTAAACTGTTGTTGCGAAACTCATGTCGTTGCTATATTCAACAAATTGTATCATCTAGTATTGATAGGACTATTGCAAAATTTCTTGAAAAGTTCGAAATTGGTGTCATATGATGTGACGTAGTTTGATGGAAAAATAATCCCACTGAAATTATCGTTAGTAAAATGAAAAGATATTTGTTAAATGACCACTGTGTAATAAATATCACTGCTCGTAAATTTGAATTATTGACCACTTATCAAGCCGTATGCAGTTCAATGGGTGATCAATATTAATAAATTATTACAAACATTGTAATCATATTAACTAAGAAGCCAACTCCCTCAATTCAAAATTGAAAATATTGATCTTTGCATATATCTCTCATGACATAAATGCCCAAGACTTTTATAAATACATAAAAAACATCATATTCAAGTGGCTATCAAAATTTTTTTTTGTTCCTTAAGAAGTCAATTTCATAATTATGCATTGGTATTTCCTAACAAACAATCATTTGCTAATGGCGTTTTCTTATCTTTATCAAATATCTGAAGGTAATTTAAGTTGAAAAGTCATGAAGTGCACCCATCTCTCACTTTTAGTGGGTCTTCTTACGAATAAGTGTCGGTCAACGGCCTTTGAAATGCCACTCTCTTGTTCTTTCGACAAAATGACATGACACTTTAATCGCTGTAATATTGCCAGTCTAAAACGATGCCGATCCCATTAAACTGATTCACATTTCACTTGAATCTGAACAAAATATCTACTGCTCAATTTTTTTGATAAATAAGGATAAACGGCTTTTCCGGAATAACCCGAGACTGAATAAAGTTCCCGAAGGTAAATAAAGTTCGTTAAAAGGATCAAACAACTGTACCGCACTTGATTCATATCAAAGCAATCTCTCATGCGCTACCACAGTGTTCGTAACCGAATTTAATAAAAAGGAGTATGGAATAGGCAGAAAATGGTTACGCCCCACATCTTATGACTGCTTGTAACATCGACTTGTTTTAACAAGAATCAAATAATCTCAATAAAGGACTGTTAACACGTTATACAGCGGTTAAAATGAACCAATGCAGACCCAAATATTTAGACTATAATCGAAGAATTAGAAACGCACTGATCTATATTTGATCATTCTCAAATGAACTGTAACATAAGCAAGGTCTGACAAATTTTATCAAAGAAATGATAAATACATAGATATGACGAACGAATCCATACCATTACAAAAACAATACAACAAAGAACTCATATGTAATGTAAATCTGCAAACACCGCTAAAAAAGAAAATAGAATAGAAACAAAATATAAAAACCTCAGCACCTATAAATGTATTGGAAATATAGTTCGGTACTATAAGGAATATAGCAGCCCCATAAAAACATGATACTAACCACTAAAATACTAAATTATAACCTCCATCCTTTAAAAAATCTATCAAAACAATGAAATGCTTAACATCAGGCGTCCAAAATATGAAATGTTAAGCTAAAAAGAGAAAAGGGATGTAAGTGATTAGAAGTCGTTCCAACGATTCTGCCAACGATGCAGAGATTAACAACGAACAAGTTCAAAAAGCAAGCTAATTTTGATTTCAAAAAGAAAGTAAACTGAAGAATTTTTAATAGATATAAAATATTTAGGCAATAATCTACTGCTAAAAATTATAAAAATGTTCATTGTTTTCTGTTCTGAGGAGATAAAAAAACAGTCCAAAAAACAACTAACGTACACTACACGATGCATCAACTGGTAGTGCAGTAGTTCGTTGTAATGTTTCAACTGCCTTACGCAGAGAACGTATTTGTACGTAATCTGTTACAGCTGGAAGAAGTGATGCTTCATTTGTATGAACAGGACATACTTCAATACACTGTTCATATAAACGCAAAGCCTCATCAAGTTGCTGTCTGAAAAATGAACACCAATAAATGGAACAGTGATGTATTATTAAAATAACTACAGGCTAAAAAATTGTATCGTGATCAATTCATTGTAAGGAGTTCATGTCCATATGCAACCACGAAAGCTCTGTAAAACAAGTTGTACTAAATAACCAAGAATTCACACAAGAACTTGAGGATTTTTTCCCTTACTCTTCTTAAGAATATATATCAATACAAATACTATACAAACTTTTGAAATGCTATTTTTGCTAGAATAGCTAAAGCATCTGGATTAGCCTTTTCTCTTTCTAAACATATCTTCATTTTCGACTCCAGCACCGCCATTTGATTCGGAGAACCCTCCATCTCTTCTGCCTCTACCATTCTGAAAGGAACAGATCGAAAGCAGAAAAAATAAAACCAAGCGCATTTGTGACAAAAAATATGCTTTTTACTTGAAGAAAAAGCATGTAGTATTTCAACCTAAAAATATTTGTAAAACTTACGCAAGATAAAACATCGGTGCAGCATAATCAGGAATACCTTCAGCAGCTTTTTTAAATGAGGCTTTCGCTAATTCTTTATTTTGAGCTGCGTAATAGAGCTGAAATAATTCCTGTGCACAAACTGCTACAGACACTACAAATTATAACAAACTTATTACGCACTAATGTGATAAATTAATTCAAAGTAAATAATTGTGATTCTCTCATCGATATGAATCTTCTGACAATCTACGACATTTAGCGGAATATAAAGAAAAGCAAAAACAAACCCGTCCAGTAATAAGATAAAGTACTGGATCAGCATTTTGGTTCATTTGTAGAAGCTGATCAACTTTTGCCATACATGCAACAGCACCTCCAACATCACCCACCGAAGCTTTCAAAGCCATTTTACAGTTTGCTCTCATATGCCTCAAACAAATTATATAACAATAGACTTTTAAATTGAACCGAGAAATCATTTGAACTCCAGAAAAAACGAAAAATCAAAAGGGATAAAATAGGAGGTCAACAACTAACTACAAAGAAAAAGTGACAACAATACGAAGTCAAATACAAATGAAGACAACATACTTGACCAGATGATGTGCTGGATCAATTTTATTAAGTTGATCTAAATAATCAATTGCTTCTTGCAACTGTCCATTTTCAGATAACAATAAAGCGGCACCCAAATAAATATCGACATTAGTTTGATCAATTTCTACGGCATGGTTGAATTCACTGCAGTAATGAAATTAACTTTGATCACATGAATTATTCCGCTGACTCACTTGTAGGTTTGTTTCTCATCGATAATTTCTAGATATAGCATTATCTAATCGATAATGCTATACCTAGAAAAACAAAGAAAAGACAAAGTTCTATAAAAGAAAATTTAATTTAACCATTTTCTTTATCTACTCGTCCTTTAGATTCATGAAAAATTTTTTCAGTGACCTGTAATTGAGACACATAAAAAAATAAAGGAAGCTTACATTCCAGACACCACTCCTCATAAAATGGTTGAATATCTAAGAAAAACAAAACGCACCTCTCAACATCGCTGCAGTGTTCAAGAATTTTCCAGGCTGCAAGCAAAATGTGATACATTGATCGAAAACGTTTATTGGTTATCTCACACCGAGAATCCTCGCTCAACGTATTCCACATATGGTCAAAAGCAGCTAAGGTTTTTTTCAATGACTGCAATTGCAGGGAAAATTATGCGGTACATTCCCAAATCAACGTTAAGAAAAACTAGCCTGATAAATCAACGAGAAATGACTAGCAAATGATTAAAATTAAATAATCGATGACTGGCACCGCGAACTTTTTTCTAAATCGTGACCAGCCAGGATTGGCAAGCAATTGAGTCATAACAGGTCAGTATTTTTTGTGTGTGAACGTGATACAAAAACATCGAACAGCTATATTCTGTCATTATTATCTCCAAACCATCTTTGTTCGTATCGCAAAAACAGTTATAAGAGTTTAGTAGTAAGAGGTTTTATCTCTATCATAATGCGAGAAAATATTACATACAGCACTTATCAATTCCTTTTTTTACCAATTCTTCCTCCTTTTTTTAAGCTTAATGTACTTCACTGATAGCTGTGGGTAGATTTAAAATATGTGAATCATAACAAAGTAAAAATTATCATCTGAACTTCCAAAAGAGAGAAGAATTATAACATTTTCCTGACAATGCTTTTGAATTTGAAAAAAATGAATATTTCACTATGTGGAAATGGTCTAAGAATTGACATAAATATTAAATAAACATGGAAATGATACTAACCGTTACGTTTTCTTTCATCAGAGCAAAACGTGCCTGAAGTATATAATCACGAAGAATAAAAGTAACATTTAAGTGATTTGGATCTGAATGCTGTATCCTTAAATCATTCTCAATAAGAGGTATAACTTCCTCGTAATGCCTTTGCCGTATTGCTTCTAGTGCTTGATGATACGGACTGTAAATAAAAAAAGGTGTGTAAAAATTAAGAATCTGTACTAATATTATTTATGGCTTTTCATATCAAGAAACTTTTCCAAACAATGATCGAGTAGACTTACATGCTTAAACTCTTCACTAATTCAAATCCAATTTGACATAATTCTAAGAAAACTATTTTTAAAAAGAATACTAGAGAACCAAACCCGAGTGACTTCATCAACTGTTTTATGTCAAGTAGCTGATTGCTTGACACCGGACACTACTGACATATAGAAAGGCACACCTACTATAACTTGATAAATCAAATATTAAACGGTTCCAAAATAACAATATTAAATACATCACAATAAGTAATGTCGTCCTTATTATTTATCTCATTAAATCCATAACTAAAGACTATTAGCAATATCCAAAAATTAATTCATACCTAAGAGAATGAGATTCTTCTTTCAAATCATGTAATATTGGGTCATTGACATACGAACTACGCCACAACAACACTAACTCGTCTCTTACTGGTACGGATTCTCGTGTATTCTTCTAGAGATTTTAAAATATTTTTTTAACCATGAAAAGATAAATCACGAGTATAACCATAAATATAAAACATAAGGCGTATTAAATAAAATTAAATTTACATCATTAAAAGATACTAAGAAGATGAGCTCTTTGCCCATATTACCGATTGTGATGTCCATATTTTATATACTTAATGTATACGTTATTCAGTAGTTTTCGTCATAAGTTAATGATTGTTTTTACATCTGTTGACGGGTAGAATTCATAAAGGGAAGACAAAAGCTTACTACGTGTTCAACCAAACTGGCAGCAGCAAGTGCAACTGCACTATCAACATCCGTCTTAAGTGATTCTGACGCTTCCGGGTTCATGACGAAAGCACAGGTAAGATCTGCAAGACAAGATCTATTCTCATTTTGAAGCAAAATAACTAAGGCACATCCATTTTTGAAGCGGATGATAACGTATGTAAAGTAAAAAGTCGCACAATGCTCTAGAATCAGAAAGCGTAAGAATCTTCTGCTGAAAACTTTCATCCTTTAGATCATAAAATGTCTATAAGAGGACGGCAGAAAAATACGAATTAGCAAAACACACTGAAAATCTACAAACAAAAAAAATATACCATCTAGTGCTTCCTCCGGTCTACCGAGTGATAGGTATGCTTTTGCCCGTCGAACTACGGCCTTAAAATAAAGTGGATCTAACTCCAATGCTTTTGTGCAATCCATGATTGACCGCTCCGGATCTCCCTAAAGTTGCACTAATCCTTCTAAGAAAATAAAGTATAAGGAACTAGATACAATGGTCAGCAAAATATTTCGCAATGTGCTGTTACGATTTGCAGAACTGATAAGAGAAGAACCATACTTTTACCAAATTAAAATCAATTGAAGCCAAAACCAAATCGTACCAATCTATCATAGGCAGCAGCCCGATTTTGATAACATACAGCAAGATGGCTTTTGTACTCTGGTGGACAAAGATTGATAGCTTCTGTAAAAGCTTCAGTAGCTTTCCTATAAGAGCACTGCTTGAAATATTCATTGCCCTTATCCTTTACCTCCTTCGAACTTTGCATACCTAAAACATTACTCGTCAGTTTTTTGTGGATGATTTAAGTTTGGAATTCTACACAAAAAATTAACACTCTCCGATTACTTTTCAAAATACCTGGAAAAAGGACTGGATATGGAGCAACAGAAGCAGTTGGCCGAACGCCGTTTTTTGAACCATTAATTGTCTGCAAAATAAACAGCGATTAAATATGAAAGTGCACTTTTTTCCTCAATGGGAACTACAAAGAAGGAGTGATATTCTCGATTTACTTGTACTTCATTTCTTTGTTTCAGCACTATCTTGTCCTGCTCGCTCATTCTATTCTCTGATAAAAGTACATGTCATAGAAAGCATTTAAATTTAAGGATAGATTTTAAATGAATCCCCATCTCTATATTTTTTCGTCAGAAATGATAATACGAAGTGATAAGACACACAAATATATAGAACTTAATTATGATGGTATTCCATCCGCAACATCTGAAAAATTAAAAACTTGCATTTTTGGTTTGTTTCCGAACATACCACCAAAGAGCGGCACCACTTGCAATACATGCTCCACCAACAACGAACCATTTTCCCCATCGCATACTGTCCCAACTCTTTACCGCCATTTTTCTGCAATAGATATCTGTAGTAAGCTAATAGAGGAATAATTCAATCATTCAACATTACTTTAAAAAGTTATTGCAATGGAAATCCAAAACCAATAATTATACTCCATGATAAATATAGAATACTTCTTCAACAAAAAATTGATATGCCTATAACAATATTAATGCATAATAATATGACTAGTAAAATAAACAATATTCGTCGCAAACCACTTCAAAAACATGTTTCAAAAAATTTCAACATAAAGAATGATGTCGTGATTTAAGCGGGGCTGCTATCACTGTGGATATCCCCGTGATTCGGACAGTTGGCTACCTGCTACAAATATTCCATCGACGTCGAGAAAGGAAAAACCATACCTGGTGCTTCGTACCTTATCACTTAAATACCTGTGTTAATTCTGATATTTCCTCAACTCCTACATTATGAAATTCCAAAATTGTTATTAGCAGCTGTTGTTCTACCAACCATAATGCCCGTGTGTTTCATTTTCCAATCTCTCCAACTCTTATGTGTGTATATTTCAAATAATATTTCTCAACTGGTTGCAACAAAGTGCTCGAGCAGTCATAACAAGAATGTCACCTCACCATGAAATGTCACCACAAGTGGAAGTATAAACATGGCTTAAATGTGTAATGTAGAAAGTGACAAACGTTAACGTAACGATGACCGCCAAAAATAACTGTGCTTTTCTACCTAAATTTAACGATTGCCGCGTTTTTGCGAATGTCAAAGATGACAGTGAGAGAAATGTGACCTGGTGATAGGTAAGGTTAGCTGCCGGGAAAGGGAGTGATGGGATGGTAGAAATGACTGAAAGTAAAGCGGAGAGAGTACTGCAGTTGAAGAGTGGTAAAATCTTAAGTTAAGAATGATACTAAAATTGGTAAGATAGTAAAGCGACTAATGGTATTAAAAAAATTAGTGGTTAAGAGAATATTCATTTCATGCAAAGGTCAAAAAAATCATTAGAATTCTATTTGGGCAGGAGGTATTCGAAATTTTCGTATTGGAAGCAGCTTTTACATGGGAAAGTTACTGCTTTGATATGGGATACATCAATGTGGACCGGGCCTTACACTGGCAATGTTGCTGCCAGGAAGATGTGGAAGGCTAGAAGGTAACATCTACCGTAATGAACCCAAAAATAATATTGTTGACCGGATTTTACATTTCTTGTTTGTAGTAAGCATCAGAAAAAGTGAAGATAAAATTATCCAAGTTATAATCAGTTGATCATCAGGGTTCGCATTCTATTGCAATTCTCGAGTTTTAATTCATGACGTTTATATCATGGAAATATATATCTCCCATGATTAATCCAAAACTACCTTCATATTCTTTAACTTTGTAAATTATATTCTTCGCTTTTCTCTTTCAACTGAATTTGCGCCGTTGCTTAATTTTGCTTAAATCTTTTTATGTAAATTGTTGATAATAAAATGATCCTGTTATGAAGAAATACTCACTAGATCTCATGATTTATAAATTAAAAGTTCCTTTATGACATAAAGTTTATATACTTTTATCTCCTCTGTTTTTGATTATCTTTCTAATCGTCTTTTAACAGTGCAATTCACGGTGCATTTGCGTGAGAGAGCACGTTTTGAGCGGAATGCGGAAATTTCGAATGTATGAATTTTCAAATAGAATGTTTTAATGTATGGCAAATGAATAAGAGGCGGTATATCCACCGCTCAATCTACCTTTAACAGGGAAGAGATTACAGGAGTATTCTGCGATAGGCAAATAGCTGCTTTACTTGAAAAGACCACAACAGAGACATTACAAGAAATAAAATTTTATTGAATTTGAGTAATTTGAATTTGAAAGTAATTTGAAACTACATGCGATTAACAATAAAATAGTCCGCAGCAGACAGTTTGCTTATGTAATTTGCATAATGCTACGAATTAGCTAATTTGCATAATGCTACAAATTAGCTGATGGCATAAATTCTTGGTAAGCCACTTCTAATTCTAAATTTCTTACAGTTTCGTTTTTGTGCTTTTATTAATTTCAATAAGTTCAAAATCTCTTAAAAGCATGTTAATGCAATTACGACCACCAATGGCGCTCATTTCGATAGCACTTGCTAACCATTCTATTGCATTCACGAAACAGATATTTTTCGTTAAACGGAATTTAGGGCGATCAGCAGGATATTTCTTGTATTCTGGGTATGCCAGAAATGAAACCTAAAAATTACACGCTAATCGAAAGAAAGATTTGAAATCTTTAAGATTAAGAAGGCCTGAGATCAATACATTTTACTCGATGTATTTCAAAGAGCGATCTAAAAAAGTGAAAGTAAATATCGAATTATCTCACCCTTTTAATATTTTTGATTTCACTAAAGTAAAGCGACAAGTCTGAGTCAGTTAGGTTTTTACTGGAAAATATTTTCCATATTTTATTCGAATCCGTTCTCGGCAAAGATTCACTTTCTTGATAATCAACAGGTAAAATCTGTGCTGAAACAACATTGAGTGTGCGAGGAAAATTAAGTATAATTTTCTTATTGCAAATAAACAGCAAATAAAGTTACCTATTGCGTTGTATGACAAACTGTTGTTGCACGAAATTACTGCAGTCAACATATCATTCTTAGATAATGACCAATGTGATGCGCGCAATGATCCCTGCAAAAATTAAATTTCGAACTTTTATTTTTTCGATAGTTTCTTGCATTCTATCTGCAATAATGCGTACAAAAATGAGCCACCTCTGGGGGTTCTAGAACTAACACTAGCAGCAAAACGGAATCTAAAGGAGGATATGCGAGCATATGAAGTAACATATGATCCAAAAAGAACCTCTACAAACGTTGCGGTAATTTGTTTGAATTTGCCACGTTGGCCTTCCCAGTTTACACCTAAATGCAAAACTTTGAATTGCACAAAAACCTCGCATATTCACAATTTCCTAAAAACAGGTTAAAACAGTAAGATCTGTATAACCCTTCTTTGCTTTTTAACATGAAATTCGATCTGTTCCAAAAAATAATCGTGCATAAGATGGATAAAAGAGATGTTTCGCGATAAAACAAAAGCATGATAACCTTCTATTTGAATTTGTTGCTTTTGATGTAATGGTACGGCAACAATGACATAATTGTAATTAGTGTCAAGTTCCTGGCCATCACTTCCATATAACACAAATTGATCATTTCGTTTGGAAATTGCCGCCACTTCTGCACTAAACGGAAGACGTCTTTATCTGACTACTTACTGTGACAAGTCACTATTTCTGGAATTCTATTTGCAATCCCAAATAAAGAAATGAAGAGGTTTTACCTAGAAATACCTACCTAATCAATTTAATTTTGGAGTAGTCGATCAGTTTCTCGACAATAAGTTTATTCGAACCATTAACTGAGTAAAGCCCAGATACAAACCCAGCTAGTCCCACAAAGCCCGCAAAAGCTCTCATCTCCTATAAGTGATGAAGAGCGTATAAAAATTTAGTTATAATCTTACGCTATCGTCTTAATAGAGTATATAATGAAGAAAACTAGCAGTTATTGATATGTGAAAGCATTAATGATTTTATTACAAAATTTGGATCACTAAAAATTGAAGATTGAACCTTAACAGATTGTCCATAATTACAGTTAAGTGCTGCATTGGCAAATTCCATGATAAATGGATAATGATATCCACTGTTAGCAAGATCCTCTTTCATTGTCCTATTTACAAGTTTTGAAAGGCGGATTGACATTGCCGTTACCATTGCATCCACAGTATCAAACGATCTACCCTGGCTAATCAAAATACTCACAGTATCAAACGATCTACATTGGCTAATAAAAACACCCTGATCAACAAGTAAAATGAATCAAACGGTAAAATGTTTTTCAAGTATAATCACTCATTCCCAGCATTATGAAATAAAAAAAAATTTATTGGATTTGAGAAATTATTTGTAGAAGAGAAATAAATTTACTCCAACATAGCGTAAATGTTCTCGAAATCCGACAAAAGACTGCTGATTTCAAAATGACCTTTCAATAGATCAAAACCGTATCTCTTCAGCAGTCGGTAAAATGTGATGAGATACCATGAACTTTTCAGGAATACAAATTCCTCACCATTCCATATGCCCATAATACCATTTTCATGAGGCTTATTCTTATGCAATCCTATTAAATAAAATTTCAGCTGAAGTAACTTTAAGCAACCATATACTCCTGTGATTAGGGAAAGATGATAATTGCAAACGTTGTGTTGGTACATTTTTAAAATCATGCAATTAAATTTATTCATTATTCACTGGATTTTTTTTCAAATTGTTCAAAATTTGTTAATATATATATATTTTTTAAATTTATTCGATAAATTTTCACATTGTATTATAAAATGAAATAAATTTCTCCCAAAAACTACACGATGAAAAGGAAAGTATTAATGCTACATTAAAAAACTTTGGCAGAATGGGCCATTATAAGAAAATTATCGCTTATAATTCAGAAAAGTTTAGAGTTTAAAAGCATTTACCAAACTTTTCAATCCAGTTTTTGAAATAAAGATTAGCAGGATGTAAAATAGTGCCACCAGCTTCAAAAATGCGTTCCTCGCCATTGTACTGCATCTGGACAGTTGTCAGTCGCCCTAAAAACATATTCCAAATGTATGATGAAACTATAAGGCTGTATGGAAGCTGAATATGTGCAAATAAATTTTTTGAGTAGCAAATCGTAACTTGCACACTTTTTTGCAATAAATTGATTTAAGAAATATATTGAACATGAATGAGACCAGAGACAGACGAATTAGACATAATGATAATGCAAACAACGTTTGTAAACAAATTCATAACTTATAACAATTATATGGCAGTACTAAATATCAGTTAGTCTAAAGTATTATCAGTTCTCTGTTTTCAATAAAATTTGATTCATTCAACAAAAAATGAAACGAAAATAAGAATACCTCCAATACTGCCTTGATTAAATAAGTGAATCTCAATGTTAGTTTCAGATGGTGCAAGTGTTCGCAAAAAATATGCAGAAGATGCACCACCAATGCCTCCACCAATAATTGCTGAAAAATAAAGAAAAGAAAAAAATTCCGAAATTTAAACAAATTTAGTTAGAATTATTTATTCACGCATATGAGAACTTTTTTAAAAATAGGGCCGAAAATTACATTCCAAATTTGTTTTCTTTAAAACGACATAATTTCAATAAACTTACCAACTTTAAGACTGATCCCTGAAGGAAATATCAAAAAGAGAATAAATGCTGGTAATAATGAGAACATCCAGAAATACATATCAAATTATTTCACTGATACCTCAACAGCATCAGATATACGATTCTTAAAAAATATTCCAGAACACTGTGACATTAGGGTTGTAAAGATATATCCATATAATAATTTTTGTCCTACTATCCTTTTTTTATCAGCAAATTGAAAAACATAATATTCAACCGCAAATGCATCTAAAAAAAAATCAAACTAATAAATTTTCCACTTCAAAAATAAAAGTTACCCTAAATGACAATCATCAAGACTTCTGATCATTTATATAGCGTATTGGGTTGCAGCCCAGTTTATATGCAGTTTCTCGTAAGTAGCCTCAAAATGCTGTCATGAATTATTCCATTTAATTTATGTTTCAATTAATCGTTCGTCAAATTGTCTGGTTTGAACAACTAGGATCATCACTTCTTAGCTTATATCTCAACCTTTTCACGCTCCTATCTATGCTTAATTATCAATTTTACCATTTCGTACATTGGACTAATCTTTTTATTCAGTTCAACTGCTACTGCACATCAATTGCTAGCAATAATCATCAAAACTTCAAACAATAAATCTTCCGCTGATAAAGTGAATCTGAATATTTCATAACCCATTCATTCAATCTTCTTTATCGCGGGATGAAAATTACTTACAGTCTGGATTGTATTGATGCAAAGTGGAACATAACCCGAAACGTCTTGATGAATTCAGAAAATTATCTAAACTCACAAGTTAGTGAGTGACATAACGAGCTGTTTTCAAAAAAGAATCTAAAAAAAATCAGACATTCCAACTGTCCTCTCCTTAACTTTCTCCATGCTTCAATCTTTTCCTCAATTTAACACATTGAAAAACGATGATTGGCACACTTTGAAAATATTTGGGAAGCATTGGCAGCATTAATGAACGGACTGATTTGGTGTATTATATTATAAAGTAAATGAAGGAAAGATGAAAGGAAGCCTTATATGAACGACAATGTACAACACCGGAAGGACACTCGGCAACTTCAATTAGATCCAACGGATGTTTTATTCAAAGATCAATCCGTTTCTTCCGCTTTTTCCTCACTTATGGATTGTTTGAAGCAACGGAAAAAGTGTCATCTGATTTCTTCTCTTCGCGTCATTCTCCTACGGGCAGTACTTTCAGCAATAATCGCTGCTCAAAAAAAATGATCAAATGAGATGAGTATTGTCCATTGATGAATCAATTTGATTACTTCCAAAATATTTTACAATGAGTTGTATACTTCATTTAAGATGAACCACACTGTTAGTAATATGATTAGATGAACTTTGTAAATTCTCATCTAATGACTAAAATGTTTACATTTTGAAGCTTGAAGAAACATCCGTTGAGTCCCGAATTTTCACTGTGATATCAGCTTTATGGAAATTTAAAAAAAAAATTGAATACTATATTTTCTCAGTTTGTTCTATCTTTCCTTTTTTCATTTTAGTTTGCTCAAAAAAAAAGAAAGATGAAATGTTGTCAGGAGAAATCATTTCAAGCTAAATCTGTATTTTCTTTTAAAACTCATGGATCATCCAGATGGAACTGTGATAAGAAATCTTCAGGTGACACGGTGAAAGAAATTAAAAAATGGAAAAATTTTAGTTATATGATTATTTATGAATCTGTATGTATGTCTGTGTGTATGTGTGTGTGTGTGTGTGTGTCTGTATGCATGTATGTATGGTATACATACATGCATGTTATAGGTATCAGTGAAGAATTTTGAAAAATGGATGAAGAAGTAGGAATAAATTGGATTATATTTATTATCAGCAACCACACACAATTGACAGTGAAAATAAATGTTAAGCAACGAGTAAGTTTTTTTTTCTTATGCTATTTTCTAAACGAAATCATAGGGGAAGAATGGTGAAGTGCTGTTAAGCACCTGTTCACTTATACTTTCAACTAAAATTATCAACATCACACATTAAACGAGAGGAAATGCAAGAGAACTGGAGAGCAGGAAATTGTTGAATTTCACACTAATAAGTTAAAAACAATGCATATTTATTGCGAGAACTAATCGCTTTATTTATTTAATATTCATCATGCCGATACAATAAGCAAATCATTTACTAGTTTTCTTTTTGAATATTCAAGTATTGTTAATTCTATCAGTTCATACCATTCGACAAGGTTTACCTTCTCAGCACATGCATTATCATTTCGAAAAGTGCAAATGTTCATTAAATTATTATTCTTTTTTTATATACCAAAAGGATGCAAAAAGAATAATTTAATTGATTCGAGACTTTTTTATTTACTAATTTATAATCCATTCTGCTTACTAATTACACTCTAAGATACAAAGTAACTGTTGTGGGTGTTGCTGTTTACAAAATTGTTGTTGTTCCTATTTTAAAATTGAAATGTTTAAATAAAAGTTTGAACGCTTTGAATTTTAAATTTCAAATTTAAAATCATTATGCTGGAATGATACATTATCAGCATATTGCTATGCTTCAAACAAACAAGATATGCATTTTGATGATTTCTTTTAAGATTTATGAACAAATGACTTTATTTGATTTTTTTGATTACATTTCTTTGACAGTATCATTACTATACTATTTAATTGTAAGTATGCCCTTATTACAGCCTAATGAAATGTGAGCATTTTAAAATATTTGTTCCTTAAATTCTATTTGATATAGTTGATTGAGAGTTAATGCCAACATCTTCATTCTATACTCTTTTCTCAGCTGAGAAGAACCGTGTCAGCTTATCTTTCTATTATTACCATTCGTTTTAAAGATTCTTTATTAGCTTCAACTTTCAACAAGAAATTCAACCATTGATTGCAAAATACTTTCTAACCAACATAAAATTGGTGTCAAGTTATTCGTTCATTGCCGTGGTATTTCGGTGTACCTTTTAACTGATTATCAACATGGCAGGTCCACATTATCAAATAAGTTCCTCATAAATCTATTTTAAAAAATTTTCCGAAAAAAAGGAATTAGTGTACTTGGCTTGTTAACACGTGCATTATGTGTGTGTGTGTGTGTGTGTGTGTGTGTGTATGCGTATGTGTATGTATGTATGTGTACGTGTGTGTACTTGTGTGTGTGTGTGTGTGTGTGTGTGTGTGTGTGT